TATAATGGCTACTGCCTCAGAACTGGTTGGACACAACGGTGCTAGCAGCTCCCAAATCTGGTCTCTGCCAGATCATCTGACATTCCTGTGATGTGGTATGAGGGAGTGGAGAGAGGAGGGCCTGGCATCCCAGGGGTTAAACAAAGCCTTTTGGCCCAGCTAGCCCCGCCCTGCTTTGCCTGTAGCCAATGGCAGGCCTGGAGGGAGGATAAAAGAAAGGGGCCTGTCTCAGGTAGGGGCAGACCATCCAGGAGACTGGGATGTGGTTTCACAGTCTGCCGCACACGAACCAAAGCCTGATCACTTGGCCAGCCAGAGGAGCAAGTAAGCCTCCAACCCCACACCCTGTGACAAAGGGAGGAACCTACTAGAAACCCCAACTAAGGGGGGAATCTGGACTTTTTGGGCCACACCCCAAACTTAAGGACTATACTGATATAGTGAGCTGGAGCTTCTAGGCCGGGGGCACCAGTGGCAGGGTTCTGCACCCCTTTTTCTGCCGGCTACATCTGTGACCTAACCACTAGGCCACCCTGTTGCCAGGGAGATTCGGCCACACGTGGAAATGAGATTCAACAGCTGATTCAGATTTCCAGTTCAGTCCTTTCAGTGAGCCGGGATTCCTGTCTGGCTAGGTGTGGACCGTGGCCTGATGAAACAGAGCCTTTGTACCTTTTTGGCTTTCCTTTTAATCCGCTTTTCTTTCCTTTTGGAGAAACTGAAATCACAGCTCTGCAAATGAGCTGAAAACATCTTGGTAACCCTCTTAATCGTCACCTCCCCTTTCAAGAAAAAATTAAGCAAGCGGACTTTCACGCTCCTTTCCTGTCCACTTAGACATGTGACAGCATGGTGTGGTTCTGAAGTTAAACCTTAAACTTTGGGGAATACGTCTTGGGGTTTAGCACTAACTAGTCGGTGTCTTTGATGGGATCTAAACAATCTGTACGGGGGACTGGCCACATCAGGCATGTGCCGGTCCCCATCAGAGCGGTCCCCAGTCTCAGCAGAGAGGCCAGATATTAAAGCAGTACCAAAGGGGAAAGAGCCACTTGCGCTTGGAAGTAGTCACTCCTCAGTGGGCTTGAGGCATAGTGGCCAGCTAGGGAAGTTTTGTGCTTTTTGCTGTACTGTGCACGTGAAGGGCATGGCCATTTGATAAACACTTTCAGTTTTGGGGATGCTCCTCTGCCACACTCCTGTGAAGCAGGGATGTAAACGGGAACCAGTTACCAGGTAAGCATCATCCTTAACCATTAGCTGATGCCTGGGGAGGAGGCGGAAGTGGCAGGGGGGTCGGGGGGCGGCACGTCTCAGGCGTCCAGA